GCGTCCTCGTGTTGCATTTTGGAAACCGGTTTTGCGGCGCTCAGGCGGACTTTGGCCACTGTATAGATTATATGGTTTTGGTTTCTTGTTTATCTCATAGTGCTTTAACAGTGCTTATATAGTGGTGCTTGTATATATCTTTTTTTACAATTAGTTGTGTCTGTTGTATATTTATTTGCGATTTGAATTTGAAGCGTCCTCGTGTTGCCGCATTTTGGAAACCGGTTTTGCGGCGCTCAGACGGACTTTGGTCATTGTGAGTTATAGATTATATGGTTTTGGTTTCTTAGTTTATCTTATAGTGCTTTAACAGTGTTTAGTGGGGCTTCTATATATATTTTTTTTACAATTATTTATAAGCGTCCTCGTGTTGCATTTTGGTGTAGTATCAGGCCATATCACGGATGTCGCGTGCATCTACATAAAAAATACAACAGTAAATATCAAAATATAATTTTGTTATCAAAAATTGGTTCCTGTGGCAAAAACACAATTAGTTTATTACAAATAGTTTGCAAAAATAACAAGGAACATTTCTCTAACTGCTAGCCTGACAATTTACTCGAAGTTTATACCGTAGTACACATATACATGCCCAGTGCATGGTACATTTACAGTATCATGGAACTCTGAATTCTTAATTATTAAATTGACTGGTGTATTAAACACCTCATAGAGTTTTAAAACCTGTTTATGGACTGTGGTATACAGTGATAGAAGTGGACAAGGTGCTAATAAATTTGCTTACTTAAATGTAAGCAATAAGCTTCAATCATATTAACTTTAAACGTTAGTTGAGAGGCTTTCAACAGTTGCAAACTTTTGATTAGTATAGTTTTCTTGTAGTTACAGTATAAATTATAAAGTTAATATGTTCAAGTGTACTGTGTACAACAAGAATTGAATTCACAAAAGTTTATATTCGTTAATATAAAAAAATGCTTAAAAGAAATGGCGGCTGGGATTTGAGCCCGCAATACCACGGCACATCTAATTTAATGGTTTAGCTTCTAACTTGTACTACTTCGTGTAAGGAAACATAATAATTATGGCGGGCCTTGCCCTTGGCGACATTTTATAATATCCTGTACCGTAGATCTTTCTGTGGTGTGTTCATTGCTCTGTATCTTTTGCGATGATACCTAATTATGAGATGTCGATCATCGTAGCTTGGTCGAAAAGTAAGTAATTTTATTTTACAAACTACAAAGTCGTATTTTGAACATACTATAGATGACTTTCTTTATTATAACTACAGACGGTACCGTTTCGGCCTTTAGGATACCTAGTGTACTTCACTAGGCTAGTGAGAGGTACTCGCCAATTATCACGAATGTATCTTTGATAATGAGGTATGTTGATAATAAGATCTAAGTTTGATTTCATATGCAACATTTAATGGCGTGTGATTGACAAATTTTACTGAGTTTCACAAAGAAACACATTGGAGAAGATAGCCAGAAAGCTGCCTTAACAACATAATTTAGGTAATTCTAATTGGAATGATGCGTTGTAATTCCATATACGTATAAACGCCAAATAACCAAGCCTCATTAGTACTGGTGAGCGATGGTGCCCTAACAGCACATGCCCTTGGTGTTTGATTACATGTATTTATAACAAAAAACATGCAGGAAACTAACAAATAAATAAGGAATAGACTAGAATGGACGACAAACTCAAAGTGCAAAATTGGGCATGCTTGTGCGAGATTATGCGAAATTAGGCGACATTAAGCGAATAGACTGTTAGGCAAAGTTCAAAAATTGGGTGTACGTGGGCGAAATTGGGCGACATTAGGCGACCTTGGCCCCCATAGTAGGCCTCGATTTAGCCTGTTTGATTGTCTATTATTTTACACAGCAAAGTGTTTATAAATAAGTAATACCAGTAACAATAACAATGCAATTTGAGAAACACGTAGGAAAATATTTACCTACTATTTAGATGCAAAACTGTGCGACGTAACACTTCTATATGACTATATTAAGGCATATTATTTCCCTATGAGGAGATCAACGGCAGCACTTCGCTACCTTTTGGTATCCTAGTTTAGATAGATTGAGACAAAGACTTTTAGTGTTAAATGAAACAAATATGCTAACCTGTGTTGAACCTAACCTAATAATCTGTATTGTAGCTAAACTGTATCAGAGCTAACCCGGTCTGTATTGAGTGCATCAGTAAGAGTAGATTGCGAAGACCTGGCAAAGAAGCAAGTTCCATTTCTTGAGAGTATAATGTACATAACTCGAAGAGAGCGGACAGATATATATCAGGCATTATTTGTTATTCTATACTAATTATTATTCCTTATAATTACAAACTAGATCGAATAAAAACCTATCAATATTCATTGTTTATTATATGATTCCGTGTCTCGCGATCTAACGGGGAAGTTTAGTTACCCTGATAATCCAGAAATTGTAGCTTTTTATTTGTTGCAATTGAAAATATTCACGAGAACCGAGTGAGAGAAGTGTCACCTTACCAATTTGAACAAGAAGCGGAGGTAAACGTAACCAATATAAGCGATGAAAATTCCGAACAAGGCCGCGATTTGTCTTTGTCTGACGAGGAAATCGATCATGAGTTGGAAAGAGTAAATGGTTGGCGCATTCCAACTCTTAGTTGGTGTAAATGTGAACGTTGCACTATATCAACAAAGGCTATTAATGTTTTCGTTGTCATGAGAAAGCGTTCGAGTACAATGAATATGATGTACTTCTTGACCAAACAGAAACACAAGGCGAAAAGTGTTTGACAACATATCCGGACTTTCAAGACAATATGCGTACTAAAGATAGATGTGTTTCGTTATCTCGAAGGAAACTGACGGATCTTGAAAAAATACATAAACTGTATCGACTGGTGGCATATCAGCAATGTTCTCGCGGGGTTTTCCGCATTTTGGGGAAAATTCCTACTTGTGTTTATTCATGAATACGAGAACAGGTTCGCGTCGCCTGATGGCTTGACACGCATTTTAAACATGATGCAGATACAGAACCGCAAATAGGAAAATAGGATGAATCTTAGACGTGACTGAGGGAAAGAACTTTCTGTGTTTAAAACGTGAAGTGTGAACTAAAATATGCATTAGATGTATCGACTAAGGAGCAGCTTTGTGCAATTGTTCGCCTAGATAAGGCTTATGAAGTTTCTGAAACTGCCCCAGCCATTAGCGAGGTTGTTAAGAATGTTTTAAGCAAATATGGCGATTCCTTGAAATATAAACTCACAATGCAGACCTATGATGGAGCTCCTGTGATGAGTGGTCATATAAATGGTCTTTAAACCTTGATTCGTCAAGATTACCCCTTTGCTTTCTTTCCTCGCTGCGCAGCACATACACAAACCTTGTACTTCGCCAATCTGCCTTAAATATCAAGGAAGTTAAACTGTTTTCCCCTAAGATATCTGCATTTTGTACTTTCAGTAAGCCTAGTTCTGATAGGAAGGCTCATTTCAATGCTCATGGTGTTGATATTCCTAATCCAGGAGAAACGAGGTTGTATACTACAAGTCAAGAACTGTTAAGGCTATCGTGGTCTGTATTATCGTGGTCCGTGGTCCGCATTTTCCGTATCTGGACCGTACATACCAGATTTTTATGCATTTGAAAGCCCTCCTTGATACAGAATACATGCTGCTGCTGTATTGACCTGCGTTGTTAGACCATTTCCACAACTTTCCCTTACAATTTCCCCTTAGAATTTCAATCAACATGTGCACCTTTAGCAGTTTACTCTGTCTAGTCTTGTCACGCAATTAGTCACGCGAGGGCTACTTGAACCTGATTGGTTGATTTTAGATCCCATTGTTTTTCCACCAGTTTGTTACAAATTTTTGCACTGCTATTACAAATGTTTGCACTGCTGTTTGGCATTAACTGCACTGAAATCAACCAATCACAGTCGAGCAATATTACTGATATCCATGTACTGATACCATGAAACAGATCAAAGCGGACTTTTCTGAAGTGATGGGAAACCAAGAGCTGCCAAAGCAGGTTGAATTAAATTTTGTGGAAATCTGGAGGCCAAGGTTATTGGCTTATGCAGAGAAACAGCTTCAGCCAAAATGCAACCATATCATGAAGAAAATGGAGGAGGCTATTGACACTGGGTTTCTTGAGGAAGGTACAGGTATAGTACAGTAAAATGCAACCATATCATGAAGAAAATGGAGGAGGCTATTGACACTGGGTTTCTTGAGGAAGGTACAGGTATAGTACAGTAAACTTTGCATAGAATTTTTGCATACATAGTATTTTTGCATACTCTGCCACTGTAAGGGTACACCAGTATAGGTCAAAGTTAACAAAACTATCGAATCATTCAACTATTGGCGACAAGTGGCTATCGAAACATTAAATAACTGTATGAAGCCATCTTGACATGATTCTTGAACTATAACATGTTCCAAGTTTGCAGCATTCAGCTTTGTTATCCATGCAATTGCCTGAATACGGTACTTTAATTTGCAGAATTTGCAAAATTGCCCATTTTTTATTTTTGAGTAACTAACGGGTGTCTCAGAAAAAAGTATCGGTGTTTGATTTAACACATTACTTTACTCAGTTTCAACATGTCTTCTTTACGGAACACACCTCCGTCCAAAATTGGCACAAATATGCCTGACTCTGAAGATAGAGAGCTCTTGGCTTCTCTTAATGCTGAAAAATACTTGACTGACGGTGAGCCTGACCAATATCACTATCAAGGACTTGTTATTCATGCTGACCTTGCTGATACTTAAAAAAAATTCGTGAACGAGAAAGAAGACGGTTATTACTATCTGACCACCTATCACGGCGCCTCTGAGGCAGGCGATCCTTGCCATCAAGTATACGGGAAGCACATGCATGTCTTGCTTGTTTTTCCCAACGCTACGATGTATAATTCCACTTCAATACACAACAGACTTGCTCGGAAGCAACGGGGGTTCAAGAAAGTCTTATATGCGCATGAGAAAGTCTGAAATCTCGTTGGACTTTACAAGTATATTACAACGTGTCGTGTACTCACTCGCCTTCCTAGTTGGTTTCAAGATCATATTGACGGTCTTACAAATCCCAAGGGATACACCAACGCGATGTCGAAATATGTCCAGCTGCGTGATAAAGCGAAAGCGTCTGATTTTTGCGTGACTCTTTCAGAGTTGATTGAAATGGTGTTGAAGGATGGTTGTTGTTCTTTTGTTCTGCAGATTTTATGATTCGTAATTGTGAGGACTACCTCAGAAACCATTATATGTCTTTGAATTTTGTTGAGTGTTGTCAGTATATTTCTGGGCGCTTTTCTTCTGATAATTATTATTCTACGGATGAGACTCGTCAATGGATTAAGCGCATTTGCTCGCACAACAAGATCCCGCTTGGCGAGTTTCAAAATGCTTACTATTCTGTTATGATGAAACGTACTATTAAGAAAAATACGTTGTTTTTGTTGGTCAGTAAATTTGCTGCTAAATCAGTTGTGATGCGTAGTTTGCGTGACGGGTTTTGTGAGTTTGGCTAATATTACGTGTTAACAATGCTTCCAACCATGTGGCCTCCATTGGTAAATTACTGTATATTATTATTATTTATTTGATCGCCATTGAACAGGGTGTGGTCGCCCAGTTTCCCGAGGATTAACGGTTGGAGGGATAACGGTTGGGGGGAGAAAAACCGGAGTTTCCACAGAGAAACTCTCTAAGCAAAGCCTTGTTCGTCTCGTCCTCCCTAGTATGCCATACGCAAAATAATATTTTGGGCTCACTTTTCTTTTGAGTCTGATACTTTTGCATTCCAAGAACGTGTTGACAGACAGGTCGTTGTTACTGAGGAGATGTTAATTGATCCCAAGAATGTTGATCGTTTTAAGGTAGTTGTATCCCTTTTTTAAGTCAGTTTTTCAAATTTATGGTTTTGGGTATTTAAGATATTTTAAATGTTGCTCTTTCAGAATCTATGATTGCTTATTTGAATTTTTTATTTTTTATTTTTTAAACGCAAACCATGCGTTTAAAGTGGTGATGGTTGAATATTTTGCCCTTAACAACCAGTTTCTCTCGAAAAAAACACAGAATTTATTCATTCAAAAAAGGAAATTACTGTTTCCACTTCTGATGTATGTTTTTTAAGACCCTTTTTGTTAGCTGCAATTTGATTGTTGGTTGTGCAAGCCAATGACCACGCATTTTGTAGAGCACAATCTTGAATGTTTACATCGCGTTGTTGGCACTAGTCTGTTAAAAGTTCTGCGTTTTGTATTGCTATTTGGTCGACAAGTATTATTGTTTCTTGAAAATTACAATCATTGTGTTTTTGTATTTGTAATTTTCGACCAAAACATGGGAAATAAACGAAACAGAAAGAGGTCGATAATTACACCATCGAAGAACAGCAAGAAATTCAAAGATGGCGAACCATCTCAAGATTCTCAACAAAATCGCGGGGGTTCTGGTATAAAGATCGGACACGTAAGTAGATGTGCCCCCCCCCCCGATATAGCGGCGGAAGTGACGTCAGCATTTTGAGGATCTTCTCGCCATATGACGTCAACATTTTGAGGGATAAGAGTGACGTCATTTTTGGAACATTGTCGCATAACGTTTGTCGCGTGATCTTTTGAGATGACGTCAGCAAGTATTGTCGCATAACATTTATCGCGTGATCTTTTGGAATTTTCAGATGGCGTCAGCAGGACGTATAAAAACGGGAGTTTTATATTTATTTTAAAATGGAGAGTTTATATGATATGTTTGCAGCAATGAATATTTCTCAGGAGGTGCTAAACGATTTGGTTGTGGATAAAGTATCTTATGAAGTGAAGAATGTTTGTGATTTGATGAATGCTGTGTTTTTCGAAGCGGTTGTTTGTGAAATTCGGAGATTATTGAAGGAGAAATGTCCAGGCTGTGAAGTCGATCATCCGAGTCAGAGGAGACACAACTGTATTATGTTGTCAGACGAGGAGGGATGGTTACTGCATGGTTTGGAAGCAGTGGAGCGTGTGATTGAGCGTGGAATTGTGAAGAAACAGTTTCTGGAAGCCATTCGAGTGATGAAATTGGAATATTACGAGCGTGCGAAAGAACATTATGCGAACTTGATAAAAGATTGTGAAGTAACACTTGATTTTTTGGGGGATTTGAGAGGAAGTTTTTCTGATTATGAACCCATTTTTAACTACCTAATGTATTGGAGCGAAGAACATTGTGCATAGGACACTTTTAATAAAAAACATTTATTTATTTATAAAATTGTAAAAGATTTTTAACAGAGATGTTTTTTTGAGAACAAAGATTTTACAAATTATTGAGTTGTTCTCGTAGTTTATTTTCTAAATGTTTCTGATACGCTTTGTTATGATCCGTTTCGAGGGATATGAATGTTTCCTTTGTCCCTTTGACATAATAGGTGTATCTTGGCGGTGAGCTGAAATGACATTGAGCATAGGATTCCAGGGAGTCAGCTTGTGGATTCCATAAATCATGTAGAATACGTAGTAATGATTGATTGTCTTGATATACTTGTAATAAAGTGTAGACAAAGTTTTGATCCGGTTCTTCTTGCAAGCACATCAGGTGCTGTGTGAAATCTTTATGATTTTCTACGTTTAGAATTTTGATAGCGGCCACGAATTCGTTCCATGTGGAGGACGTTTTGTTATCTTGTTCTATAGCGTTGAACCCGTGCATTCCCCAGGTTTCGTGTTCATGCATCATTAGGCAATCCTGTTCATATACTTTACAGCCACAGCAGCATTCATTGCGTATTTTTTGAACTTCGCATGCTACGTTCTTAGCGTAGATTACTTCCAGTAAGTGAAATATTGAACCAGCCATCATCAGAGACAATATACAACTGTTTGCCATGCTTTTTGACAAGTTTAAGATATATACTTTTTAGACATTTGTCGCGTAACGCATTTGTTCCATGTAGCATAACGTTTGTTCCATGACCTTGTAGCGTAGCGTTCCATGACCTTTGTCGTGTAACACCTATGATCTGGCCTAGTAAGTGTGACCTTGATCTTGGAAGCCAGCGTGGGCTTTGTGCACTTTTGGCGCCAAGACGGCATCCATATATGTGTGTGATTAGACGTTTTGGGCCAGAAGCGAACAGCTGAGGCGACGAGCGAGAAGGCAAGAGCGAAGGAAAACAGAGCGAAAGGAATCGGGTATGGATAGCGACGGTAGACGAGAAAGGCACAATGAGAGACATAGGCAGTATCGGGCGAGGCGCAGGCAGCAAGAGGAGGAAAGGAATAGAGAGCTCGCGCATTTGCGCGAGCTCTATGGGGTTATGATGGACGTAAATTTTGAAGCTGTGGCCATATTCGAAATGTTAGCAAGGTACCGCGACCATCCTGAGGCGTTGGTAGAAGAAACGATTGTCCTGCGGGAGCTGGGGCTGCTCTGGGGAAGAAAAGGGAAAAAACAGAAGAGAAAAAAAACGGCTCTTTTAAGAGCCACCAAATCTATGAAAGAATATGAGCGGTTCGAAATTGTGTATAATTTTTTATGTATGTGAATTATTTGCAGGGGAATTTTTATGCAGGTAAATTGAATAGTTATAAGGAAATTTTTTACGTGTGTAAGTGTTTGTGAGATAGTTTTTTTAGGGCGAGCTAAGTATGAATATCACAGTATTCGTTTCAATTCTTTTGTTATTTTGATGGTTCCTATAGGAACCGGTTTTTTGTTTTTTTCTTTAAGCGTCCAGCATCTTCTTCAGCCACATCGCAAATGCTTCGACCTCCACTTTGGCACAGTGTTGGTAGGTGGCGTTTTCGGTATGTTTCCCGCACGTTTCGAGCCAGACCAGCTGGTCGAAGAGCTTTTCAGCCTTGGGACAACCATAATCTTGTAAATCAAGCGCAGGAATGTTAAGGCGAGATAACAGGTCTCTTTCATATATTCCACCTTTGTACGCAATGGTTGACCTCGAGTTCTGACGTACATTTTCATACAGCTGAGAGATTATCTTAGGAAGATTGGAAAGAGGAAGGGCATCGACTCCAGCGGGCACACCAAAAGGTAATTTATGGATGTGAGTTTGTACGTATTTGCATACTCTTTGGTCTTTGGGCGTCAGGTCGTTCCACTGTAGACCGGTGTCAAAAAAGAAGGATTGAGCTGTAGCGTCTCCAACACTCAGAAAACCCAATTCTTTACAGAAAAAAACTTCTGTTGACAAAAAAACCATCCATATCTATAACCGCAGCAATATTTGTAAGTTGTTGAGACATTTTGAAATGTTGAACATGTACTTTTCGACCCGCTTTATATAATTTTAATAGCGTTGTCGCATAACACCTATCACGTGAAATCTGTCGCATAACTTTTTTTTCACGTCACAGATGTCGCATAGCGTTCCATAACATTTGTAGCATAACTTTTTTTCACGTGACAGATGCCGCATAGCGTTCCATAACATTTGTAGCATAACCCGTATGATTTGGCGGGTTGAGTTTTTGTATAAAAGGCAAGAAGTAAAATTTTTATTTTAAAGTTATAGCGATGGAGTGTTT